TTGGGACATGGCCATGTGTTGAAAATGTAAGCTAGCTTAGTGAATCAGTATTTTCTACATGGACACTATTAAGAAACTGTGTGTGAGTTGAAGATCCATTAAATGTAGGAGACCAATCAATCCTTTTGAATGTAACACGTTAGGAAAGTTCATTGCAATGGTTTCATATTTCACACTGGGACTAGAGAAAGTACCTGTTGCTTGATTTGGATATAATATCAAAGGAGAATATTGTAACTTAACTGAAAAGCTATTAAATACCCCTCTCTCTTTCAAATATGTGAAGCCAGATTCTCCTTACCTGATACAGTACATATCAGCAGACTAAATGCTAAGACAAGAGGCAGCCCCTGATCTTAGATAATACGTTAGCAGCAAGATAGAATGATGTCACTCTTCACTATCATCTGTATCTCCAGAATATAGTTCTTTTTCATTAAAGCATTTAAATCAATTACTCAGTTCTTTTAGTTTTCAGCAAATGAAACAAATTGAAAAGAAAAAAAAAAAAAAAAAAAAAAAACTCCTTCAGAGTCCTTAATGTTCTGAACAGTATATAAGAGAGAACATGAGGCTTGATATTTCTGTATTTTTTGTTTCATTTTTATTTCATACACAAATACATTTGCTGACCAAACCCACCTGCCACTCCCACACCACCCCCTACCTCACATGTATGAGAACTTCTGTCCCAGAGCATGTAATCTGGAGCTGAACTCTTTTGTTTTAAATCTCAACTGTGGTTCGTTGCCTTGTGGTCCTGAACAACTCTCTTACCTTTCTGGGCCTTACATTGCTCATGTGTAGGATGCTCATAACCACACCTGCCAGGACAGTAATACTAGATAGATGTTAGCCCCTACAGATGTGCCACCATCGTCATCGTCCAGCTTTGTTCAGAAACACAGAGAGGAGTAGAGTCAATAGAACTGGAAGATTTTTTCCCCTCTCAAGGACAGTTATACCCACTTTCTATTCAACTGTTGTCTCAGCATCAGTAGTCTAGATGGAGATCTGTTCTAAGAGGCACTGACTTCAGCCATCAATGTGCAATAACCTCAGGAACTGGGTAGAGGCCAAATGATGTTGCCTGGTATTCAGTGGCTCTGTGTCGTCTAGCCAATGAAAACACACACTGTCCCAAGCAGATGAAACCCCAAAGGTCCAGATAAAAGATAGAAAATTAAATCCCTGACAGTGTTATTCCAGTGACAACTTAATCCTTGTGGCTGTTAGTGGTAGAACTAGCCCTTGATCCTACAATCTGATTAACTTCTTTTCCAGCCACTTGCTAAGAAAGACACTCCAGTGGTCATTCTAGCTTTTCTTGCATAACCCAGAGAAGGGTCCCCTAGCATGATACATGAAGCCACAGAACATTCCAAGAAGAGACTAGACTCCAGACAGGTGCTTAGAAGGAAGAAGGAGGACTGGGGAGATGGCCCAATAGGTACAGCCACCTGCTGCCAAACTTGATGACCCAAGCTTGACTTATGGAACTCACATGTTGAAACTGGCTCCACCTTCACAGACACAGACATACAGAATGTAAGAAAGATAGAATGGTGTCTATCTTTTCCATTTTATGGCTGTCAGAATGCCTTTGTGTCACGTAGTTGAGATGCCTCCCTGACACTTCTGTCCTTGGCTGAACTCAGTTGCACAGTGTTTGTCAGCTTTGTGCCTTGGGTGAATGGCTACATAGTCCCAAATGAATCTGTATCTTGCCCTTTGAGCAAGGCTCTGGTTAGTGAACACAGAGATGCATTTAGGTCCTTTTGTCTCTGGAGAAACACTGACTTTAAGATATCTTGTGGCCCTCTGGTGCTTTCGGGGAGAGGTGGCCTATGGTAGATATATCTGTATCCAGATACCATGTAGCACAGTCAGGTATAGGTTTGGCCTCCCAGGAAAATTGAGACACCAGTCTCAGCCTGTAGTCTTCCCAGACAGTTCTACTGGAACTGAGGAAGGGCTTGGCCAACCAAGAGCATGGGTGTTCAGCCTCAGTGGGCTCTGCTATCTGGGCCGGTGATGGAGAAGGGCTTAGTGTGGAAGCTACAAGGATATGACTTGTGCTCAGTATGGCCATAGGTCTTAGGCAAGTCATTTGATTTCTGTGGCCCAGGATTTCTCCCCAGGAAGGGAGAGGTTGTGTTCCTCCTTGGAAGAGATGGGGGTGCACACTGCAGCAAATCTTCCGCATACAGACTTTACTTCAATCTGTGACTGCTGCCATTGCACTTCATGGAGTGTCGTCTGAGCCTGAGGCTTGAAGGCCATGACTGCTGATATTTTGGGAAGCCAACTGTATGAACAAGGGCTACTCAGCTAACATCTAGTTCATAATTCCTCCTTCTTCAATGGGGGACTGTGAGTAACGTGCCTTTCCCACTTACCCAGATGTTACAGGACTGGAGGAGGCAGATAAGGTAAAGCTCTGTGTCACCTGAAAAGCCTCTCACGGAAGTCACTATCGTAAAACCCACAATGGCACTGTTAAATGGCATTTCAATTCTTGGGTTTCAGCAAACCCTGACTTACATACTGCACATGTGTCACTCAATTTAATTTTAATCTTCTTCTAACAGCTTTGCCAGGTGCGACCTACTTACTGTTTAGTTTTTTAGTTAGTTTTAATAAGGTACAAAGAGCTTAAGTAGCTTGCCCTAGGTTATACAGATAAGCATGGGAGCAGAGAGAACACCTGAATATTCAAACCCAGCCAATCAAATTCCAGAACCTAATAGAGTAGTAGTGGCTAGGCTTATATGGGTATTTTATGGTTGCTTTTCCAAGTTTCTGTCTATAAAGCATATATAGTAATCCACTGAGTCTGTTAAGCTGTGGTACTCCATGGAGCTGTTAATTAGTCCTTCCTACCTTCTGGGCATCTATCAAACATCTTAGGGAACTCAGGTACAATCATACCCATAGGCCAAGGATGGAGGGATTAGATACAAAGCTCCTAGACAGGGTACAGAAACAACATGCTTCAAGATAGAGATCAGAATATTCACGTAAAAAAAAAAAAACTAACAAACTCTAGCATAGTCGTTGATGGATTCCGGATCCTGTTGGAGAGAGTACTACCAGCTTGAGATGAAAAGTATAATTTAGAGTAGGACAACTCTGTCCTACTACAAATGTGATAAATGTCATTCACAAGGACAACATGGTCCTATGAGGCTGCAGAGACTAACAGCACAACCCATCCCAATCTTCCTTGGTAAACTTAAAAAAATAATAATTTCTTTTTATGAGTCTCTTTTTATAGGCTTTGGGGTAATTAAATTATCCAATTAAAAATCTCAAGAAACAGAAAGTTATTTCCCAATAAAATTCTATTAAATTCAACAAATTTACTGTGTTCTGTGGTGTCCAATATAGTAGCTACTGACCACATGTGGTAATTTATATTTACAAATTCAACTAGAGACAGGGATCAAGGCACAACCAATATATATGGAGAGGTGTCTGAAATCTTGCGAGAGGATTACCAGGTGGGACCTATTTACTGTCTAGGGATTCTCTCCACTCTCTTTTTCTTTGACTGCAATCTTGAGGATCTCTTTGGGTAATCATAGTTGCTCTGATGAAGAAGTTAATGACTGTTCTATTCAGACCACAGAATTCTACAAGGACTAGGGAAGGACAGACAACAGAGGGAATGTCTGTCAGGAGTTAACATACCCAAGGAATAGTGAAACCAAAGACAATTTCATATGGACAAATAGAAGTCTTAAAATATTGAACTTAATTTTTAAAAGTAACTTCTGTAACTGAATTTGACAACTAGTATATATTGTTTTCTAAACACTATTGAAGAGTAAACTTAAATAAATTTGATTTCATTAAAATTTTTAATGTAACAAATCTCAAAAGAAGCCAAATGCAAATGTAATCGCATGGTAATTCCATTTATATGAAAGTCTGCCATCAGCAAAATTGCTTCTATGATGATAGAAATCAGAACAGTGGTTGCCTGGGGGAGGGGTGGGAGGCAAGGGTTGGGAGCTGGGACCAACTACAAAGGATTTGGGAGCAGTTTCTGAGGCGTTGATCTATCTGGATAGGACACTAGTCACACAGGTGCAAGCATTTGTTGGTGCTTGTGGGACCGTTTGAGTTCAGTGCTTTACGCAGAAAGTAAATTACATCTCAGCTAAAATTTTACATGCCGAATTGATATGTGATAGATAGATCGGTAGGTGACAGATGAAGGATGGATGGATGGATGGATGGAAGGATGGATGGATGGATAGATGGATGGATGACACAACATAACTTGTTCTGGCTCACATGAATATTATGAAAGTGTCCATTACCCCTCTTTCTGGTAGTGATCTGCTCTCCATGAACTTTATGCATCCAACAGAAAAGTTTAGGGTACACTTTCTGATTTTGTGTAGTGTGGAAATAACTTGGTTGCTCGTGTGTGTGTGTGTGTGTGTGTGTGTGTGTGTGTGCTCGCGCACGCATGCGTGCGCATGCATGCATGTGTGCATGTGTGCTTGATTATTTCTTACCTTATCCAAGGTGTACAAACAGGAAACTGTCAGGAGTTGAGAATGGTGTGATTTAGAGGTGGAAAGATTCTAATTAAACTCCAGTTTTACTGCTCTTTTGCCTCCATTTCCTCCTCATCTGCACTGTATTATTATTTGCAATAAGAAATACATATTAATTTTATAATCTGTTCATAATCTGAAATTCAAAAAGTCATATTTTCTCGGCTGAGAGAGTATGGCGATCTATGAGTGCAACTCGTGTGAACAATTTGGTCTTATATTCCGATCAGTCACACTTTCTGTGCCAGCATCAGGCTCTGTGGGGTGTGTTAGTCGTCATGGGATCTTAGTAAGTGCTACCACCTCATTCCTTGCCTACTTCCATGTACTGATGTATTCTTATTGTGACAGTAGGGCACACTGTAATATCCTGGGTTTGCTTACTTCGTCTGTGTGTCCCTCTCATTGCCTCTCTTCTCTTGCCCACAGATTCTTACCTAACCCTTGATGAACCAATGAATAACATCACCACGTCCCTGGGGCAGACTGCTGAGCTGCACTGCAAAGTGTCTGGGAACCCTCCTCCCACTATCCGCTGGTTCAAGAATGATGCTCCTGTGGTCCAGGAACCTCGTAGAATCTCCTTCCGGGCAACCAACTATGGCTCTCGGCTACGGATTAGAAACCTTGACACCACAGACACTGGTTACTTCCAGTGTGTGGCGACAAATGGCAAGAAAGTGGTTTCTACCACTGGAGTCCTGTTTGTCAAGTTTGGTAAGCAGCCTTCACCTGGTTTGGCCATAGGCCATCAGTCCATTGTGTCGGAATAACCAGAGTCCATAAGGGCACTTAACTGAGACCTACATCTGGTGCCATTGCATTTAATTTACAAATAAGCAGTCCACAGCCCAGTAGGGAATTACCATGGTCAGGGTGACCCAGTTCTAAAGCATCAGAGGAGGAATAGAGGAGGCCACTTCTCTCTGAACTCGCTCTACTCCAAACCCTTGAGCCATATAGGTCTCAGGCAGGTGCTCCCCACCTTCCTGATGTGTCGGGAATGCTTACGCCTGCCTATATGCAGTCACCATGCCTCCTAGGGGGCAAGAGATACTCTGCTAATAGTGCTTTGCACCTATCTGAGCATCTTTCAGACCCTGTGCTGTAGGAGTTAGGCATGTTCTCACTGGTATGCTTTGATTCAAACAGGTGGTTAGCGTAAACTAAAGGCAAAAGAGTGAATCCAAGAAAAATCAATAAGAGTGGGAAACTTCCTGGTCATTAGCAGAGTCCAGGAAAAATCAGTGCGGGTGGGAACTTGCAGTGTCTTTGGTGGACGCACTCTCCTTCGCCCTCCAGTTACCCAGACTGTTTCTTTTGTTGTTCTCCATTTCTTTAGGGCCTGCTCCTACCGCAAGTCCGGGATCCTCGTAAGTACTCCGCATCTCTCTGTGCTCTCACATTTCTAAGTATTTCTCCGGAGCTTTCTGGGCAGAGGCAATGTTGTCCTGTGCCGGGGCCAGAACACCGAGTTTCCAGATGCCGTTGCCTTTGCTTTCTCTCTGATGTGAAGCCCCACAAGAGACCAGCCCTGGCAGTAATCTCTAGCCTGGCAATCATGAGTCTGACTGATCAAAGCAAACCTCTTCCTACATTTACTATTTTTAAATGAATCTAACAGTTAGCGGCAACAGCGGATTTGGTCAAATCAAACAACAACAACAAAAAAATGATCGAGTGCTGGCTTAGGGACTTTCCCTCCCGCTAACAGGGTCTGTTTTACATTGTGCAAGCATTTCTGATGCTTTGAGTTATTGCATAGGGCAACATTAGCTGATCACTTTATTTTTTACTCCTTTCAAAGAACTCAGCAGCTGAAGTTCTAACTCAGAGAGAGGAGGGAGAGCCCCATCTTGGGTTGAGAGTCCCCTGGAAGTTAGATTCCTTCCAAGTCCCTTGATAATGGAGTTTAAGGATTCCATATCTTTAAATGATGCCATTGTTGATGCGTTTATTATTCTGGCTGAGGGAGTCTCATCTTTCACTCTAGAAACATCTACTTGAGGAGGTATTTTTTTTCTTTTTATGTATATTTTTATTTGGAGAGAAAGACCCATTTATTCAAACTCTTACTTTTCAGCCTCACCCCCCCTCCAGTTCCTCCATATTCTGTAGTCTTATGAGGTAGTATTCACCAGGTCTGCCATAAGAGCCTCATCATTACTGGCTTGGACCACACCAGGGTGAAAAGTAACGGCCACTTAGCCTGCTCTAATCCCCTCTGCGCCACTTAATTACAGAGTGGGGTATTTTAGTGCATTGGTGTGTACCTGGAGGCCCAGTGGCCCACAATCCCATTAATAAAATAGGTACCGGGTAAAAATAAACATTGGCCTTCAGCCACGCTGCTCTGCTATTTCATCCGCCAGTTAAAGGCAACTGTGAAAGAGTCTTTAAAATCTCAGAGCAACCGGAAGTCTGGCCCCTCAGTCTTGCATCTCTTGAAGCTGACTTCTTTTTTTCAGGTTGTCTCACCAATCCCATTGTACACGGAATTCTTTTGAAGTCTTATTTAAACAGAGATTAAAACTTTTGTTACATGCCTTAAAACCACTTCCCACACAGGTTCCTTATTTGTTCTTATTAATCTGTGTTTCTAATGTGGCTGGTAAATCAGGTCACAGGCTGCTTTTGTGGTTCACTAACTTTCCTTTAGGGTTCAGCCCAGGGCTGTTGACTTTCTGTCTGTTGCTTTTGCATGGGAAATGTAGTTCTTTATAATCCCAATGGTTTTTACATATGGACATCTCCTTTCTGTACATGCTGGCTTTTTCTTGATGGCCATCTTTCCAGTGAACACAGTATCTTGTGATTTAAGTTTATACAGACAATCTAGCAGCTTTGTGAGTTTTCATACCCGAAGAAGAGACTAAAGTTTATTAAAGACATTTGTGTTTCATGCTGTGTGAGTGCCTACTAAATTTAGCCAGCCTCAGCACACGGTGTATAGTATAGCGACCATGCTTGCTTAGGTCAGTCATGTTGATTCACCTAAAAATCAACCCAACTTGACAGCCTCACAGAGCCTTTTTCAGCTCAATCTATCATTCTGACATTCCTCACTGTCATTTTGATACATTTTCTTTACTTGGTGTGAGCGAATACATGTGCTGATGTCAGAAGAACACATCCTCTTCCATCAGTCTCTGCTTCATTCGACAGGATCTCTCACTGAATCCAAAGTTAGGCTTGTGACCAGCAAATCCCAACAATTCTCCTGTCTCCTTTACCCCTGCCCCCAGTTCTGGGGTTACAGGCACCCACAACCACACCTGGCATTTTTTGTGACTTCAGAAGACTTGAACTCCTCATGCTTATACAACAAGTGCTATTACCCACTGAGCTGTCCACCCAGCTCCAGTATTTCTTTCCCTTAAAAACCCATAGTGTTGCCTCCTTTCTAAATACCAGTGCTTACTCTGTCTCTAAGAGTTCCTAACTCCCAGATAGGATGATAATTCCCTTCTGTGCCCTCAGGGTCCCCAGTGAGCAGGCAAACCCAGAAAGTAGTCATCAATAAACAAAATGAGATCTATGGGGGCATCACAGCATTAAGGATAACATGAATGGCCTTCTTTGAAGCTTCCTTTTTCCCAAAAATAGAAGTGGCATGCAGTTTACACATTTACTTGTAAGTAGCTCCATCAGAGACGGTGAAAATAAAATAATAAAATGGGTAACCAAGACACTGTCGTAACATTCAGAAATCAGAAGAGTGGGTTGCAGGATGCAGAACCCAGGGAAAGCCAGGCCCTCAGTCTTCAGCCCAGGACGGTTCCTTCTGAGGGACCAACAAACTCAGGGTTACATAAAATAGCTTCAGGATGGTTGTTCGGTTAAGAGTAAGAGCAAGTTTGAGGTTTTTAGATGGCTCTGTTTATAACCTGAGGCTTTAGTGCTAGTATCTTAGCTAGACTCTGACACCCCTAGCAGTTACAAGCCCTGGAGCAGGAGTACAATAGAGGCTCATACTGTCCAAGGATGTAAAAGGTATAAATCAAGCCAGCAAAACTGCCAAGGGATGATTCTCCATTTGCCCACACTGACAAATATGCCTATGTAACCCCAAATAAAAAATGTGTGAAATTTGCTATAATTGAAATCATAAACTATCAAAATTTACAATTATAACATTATTTTTATGACAGAGTATTCTGCTCACAGGCTAGACATACACACACACACACACACACACACACACACACACGAACACACCCATGCATGGACACACATATACGCACATACATATATACATACATAATTTTATATATTAGGTCTATAAAATTGTTTTTTTCTCCATTGTCCCAAGTGGCCTTACTTCACATAGGGCTTAACTTTGGGGAATTTTGTGTACCATGTTCAAACATAGACATGCGATCAGATCAGATCAGATCCCATCTATTGATTTTATAACCCCATCATGCATGCTGGTCTTAAATGTGCACATCATCTCAGCATGTATAAATTGAAAAATGTGGTCACATGCCACTCATCAGTGGAGATATATTTGGGCAAAAGTACCACCAGACAACGTAGTCATTGTGTATCTAAGAGTGTGTTTACAGAAATCTGGATAGTGTAAGTCAGTTGCTTGACATGACTTCTAATGGACTTACACTATCCAGATAGAAAATAAAAAAATGCAAGAGGCTGCTGACAGCTTCACACAGCATGTTTGTAATGAACATGTTAGGTGTACACTCTAAATAACGATGGATGGTATATGTTATCTATAACCAAGTGATGGAAACTGCATAGCTAAGATATTAGAACAGTATCATATAACTCTGGAAGCTAGAATTTTAATAGCAAGACATCTGTTGGGTTGGCTCATCCTGAACATTGCAAGGAAGGATTTCTGTATTCTCCAGGGCTTACTTGATGACATTCTTTGGCTCATGAACGCATTACTTCAGTTTGAGCTTGATATTCCATGGTGTTCTCCCAGCAAAGTTCTCCAAGTAATCCCCTTTTGTAAAAAGCAGCAACATTGTTGTTTTGACTTGACCCTTGTAAAGACCCAATTTCCATCTAAGATTGCATTCTGTGTTTCTGGGGAATAGCACCTCCTTACTCTAACTTGTGGAGAGGACACAGTTCAACTGATAACTCTTGATATTGCAAAATGTTGCTCAGTCATGCGGTACACTGATAAAGTATATTTCTCCAAAATATGAGAACTTTTTCAGCTTATGATTGGAATATAATGAGGAACCAAGATTATAGATGTTTGGTAATATTAAAAATGCTGTTTATTGTGCAAAAAAAATTACAGCCACACTAAGAGCAAACATATGGTCAGGTGACTGATTTCTCTTTTCTCCTACCAAAATTCTCTGTCCCTACTGTCCTTCCCATATGTAAGGCAGCTCCTGCCATGCTAGGAGCACAATACCCACATACTTCCCATCACTGTCAACTTGGGTGGAGAAGTATTCCCTGGGGCCAGAACCCCACTGAGCTCATGAGCAACATTTAAAGTTCTGTTTACACCGTGCCAGCCTGGAATGGAATGCTGAGTTTCAAGACACAGAAGGGCCCGTGTGGACTCTTTACTTTTATTAAATTCACTTCTATTTTTTTTAAATGTGGGCATGAAGTGGGTAACTACTTTCTCTCCCCCACTTCCTCTCTTTCTGCGTAACCATGTTATTGATTACAGTATACAACTCAGTGTTGGTATAGTCAGAGTCGGGCAGCCCTTGTTACTACCACATAAGACCCATGCTTTTGTGTTAGGCTTATTTAATGTTAGCATAATAGTTTGGGGCTCAACCACATTGTAGCATCCAATGCTTCCTTGTTTTTAATGAATGTATGATTTTCACTGTGTGGTTAAATCACGTTTTATTTTTTACCTGTTGGATACATGGGTTGTTTCTGATTTTTGCCTATTCAGCATGGTGGGGTCAGCTTCTTGGGTACATACATAAAAGTGTAATTCTTGAGACATGAAGATTTTTGCAGGATGGCAAGGCTGTCTTCTAAAGGAGCTGCACAATTTTATATTAACAAACAACCAAAAGGCAAAGGGATTTGAATTTCTCCACATGTTCTCTGACAGTTGTTTCTGTTCTAAAATTGTATCTATGTATCGCCTATATATCCATCTATCGATCATTAATCTATCTATCATCCATCTACCTATCTATCTATCCATCTATCATCTATCACCTATCTATCTATCTATCTATCTATCTATCTATCTATCTATCCATCCATCCACTATCTACCTCAGGCTTCCTGGTGGCTGTGGTCCTTTACAGTGATTTAGTTTTCATTTTTCTTAGGGTCTAATGTTATTGAGTATCTTTTATGTAATTATTGGAAATTTATGTGTCTTTGGAAAATATCTATTTAAAAAATTCTT